CGCAGGACGGCGAGGATCTGAGTGTCTCCGGGCTGAACACACAGCAGAGCCCAGAGCGGAGCGGGCTGGGACACACGAGGCCAGGCAGTGCCCTGAGCCCCGCGCCCTGGAGCTCTGTTCCTGAGAGTCCTGCCCTCTCCTCCTCAGCCCACGGCCCGGCTCTTCAGCCCTGTTGGAAATGCGCCTCCCAGGTGCCCCGTGCTGGCTGCCCCCCTCCCTCCGCGGGGTCACTGTCGTCTTCAGGTCTGCCGTGGGTGCCTCCGTCTGCGTCCGCGGTGCCTCGTGTGTCCTTTGTCTCTGTCCTGTCCCGTGGCCCTGCCTGCCCACCTCTGCTGTCCCTTGCACTTGCCTGCTCCAGCCCCACGAATCGGGCTCGCTGTGACTCTGTCATTTTCACCTTTTGCATTGCCTGTGCTTCTAGAACGCTGCGATAAACTATGGCTGGTGCCCATGCCCAGGCTGCGGTTCCCCCGAGCCGCCACGGCTGCTGCAGCGGCGCAGGCTGGTCTTCTTACTGGCGACGCATGCAGATCACGCGGACAGCAAGAGGACCAAATGGCAGAACTGGAAGAGAGCAGAGAGAGCCCCGTAACCACAGGCACAGACCAGCCAGCCGTGCCTGTGCCCGTGACAGGAGGGACCCTGCGATGTGGGCTGGAGCCGGCGGCGCTCACTGCCTGCCAGCCTTGTAACAGAAGTGGCCTTTGGACCTGGCCTGCTGTCCTCCCAGGGCTGGCCGCGGGGCCTTCGCAGGGAGCCAGCCGCACGGTGGTCCTGCGCACCCGCAGCCAGCACAGGCCGGAGCCTTCGGCGCTGAGATTCGTTTAACTTGGCTTTCTGTCCTGTGCACGCGCGTCCCCAGTCGCAGTCCGTCCTTGCGCGGTAGGTGGGACCACAGGGCGTAGCTGCCCTCTCCCTGCCTCTCCGCGCCCCTCCCCGACCAGCACCCCCTCTCCCACGGGCAGGGCAGGGCGGGGCCTCACGCAGGGCCATCGCCCGTCCTGTCCAGTCAGTGTCCTCCTGTGTGACCCTCAGACTGCGGAGTAGAAACTCTTCCCCGCTCTTCAAAAGCAGACAAAAAGGGAGAGGGCGGTCTTTCCTTTCTTGTAGCCTTAATTGGAAGTCATTTCCTGTACGTGATTTTAGCTCCCATTTTGAGGTAGGTTTGTTTTGGAAACCAATTTCTAGAACGAACCGCCCTTTAATTTACTCAGAATTCATTTGGGGGAGACAAGAGGATGTTCCACCCTAAATCAGCCTTTAAACATCGTCCTGTTACACACTGATGTCATGATTACGCTGGGACATTCGCGAACGTTCAATTTCCTTTTTTTCCTTGAATTGACTGTTTTGTCACAGGATGTGCTGTTCTTTTAATGCCCTTCAGGATTAAAGTTGTTAGGTTTCACCTTATTCCTGGTGTCCGTAGGCTTTTACAAGTCTTGCGTCATTGGCTGGGTTTGATGTACTCACTCTGGCCCAGAGAACTGGTCCAGGAAGAGGGTCTGTCCACAAACAGAGCAGCTGAGGTCGCTGTGGGTCGCCTCCCCCTCCCCCTGCTGAGGAAGACCGCTCTGTACTTTATGGATACGATCCGGGAGTGTTCAGCCACCTAAGAAAGCAGAAAGGTTCGCGGTTTCCCCTAAGCCTTCTTGGTCTACGGCCCATCGGTGCCGGTCCTGGCAACTCCACCCCGCCTGTTCTGCAGAACTCCTGCCACTGCGGTCTCTTTCGTTTCCCTCTTTCACTCCTCCAGCTCCGCACTCCGGGAAATCCCACTACTGTTCACGTAACCTAGACGCCTCCGACTATGAGACTTTCTTTGATTTCTTTGATTTTGTGTCAGTACGTGGACACAGATTATGATAGCTTCGGAACTCGTTTCGTGGACTCCTCCCTGTCCCTGCTCGCCCTGAAGCGTCCTCTGAGGACGGCTCGCTCCCCACCCTCTGTGCTCGGTTTACGGTTGTTGTTTTCTGTCACTTGTTTCTGTCTTTTTGATGTAGTCTTCCAGTCTCCTGTTGCTCCCTGCTCTGTCTCACGGCAGATTCTGGGTTCACTTTATCCTGTGGATTAGTTTACACTCGATGTGCTCAAGAAAAGCTTCTTTTCTTGCAGGAAGATGTTCTTGACTAATATCTTTTAAGCTGTATCTTGGTAGGTGATTTCTGTATGCTCCTCTAGAAACCTGTAATTAAAACTCATTTGCATTTTATTTTCCACACTCTTCTGGAAGAGAATATTTTCTCTTGGTTTATTTATGTATCCTTCTGAATAAGTAAAACATGCAGTTATACTGAGATACAGAAATCAGAAGTTTCAACCGTAAAAAGCGGTGACTGAATGAGCTTCCGTGTGCCCACCGCTGTCTTCTGAGTTTTTGTGGTCTGCTCTCTGATGCTTCCATTGCGCTTCCACTTCTGTGACAGTTTTATTCCTCTGCTTCTCTCCTGAGCTCTGCCAGCTCATGTTTTATCTTCCTGGCTGTTTGGCTCTTTCTTCCCTGTGTTAATGCAGCTTGTGCGAAGATCTTAATGGAGACAGTTGGTATTAAACATTTTTAAAATTCATTACTTGGCCCCAGTTTTCCACTGTTGAATAGCACTTTGCAGTTTATGTCATCTACTGGGTCATCCTCTTTCCTCCCCTGTCTTACAGCAGCTTTGTAAGCACCTCTGTGTGGCATTTTCTTTTTGGAGGGATTGAGTTATTGCTCCACCAACTAGGTGCAGGGACCTCGTGTTGCAGAGAGGCCAGGGCCAGGGTCCTGGTAGCCGGATTCTTCCCGCAGATGCACGCTTGATGTGTGCACGTGTGTGTTTGTCCTCTTTTCACGCTCTGCACCCCATCTTAATATGAGGGCAGTCATTTACCGGTTAGCCAGTATCTCTGCAAACCAACCAGTAATAAGTGGTGGAGTTTTTTGGACTTCTGGTCCCACTTTGCTTCTTCTATGTCTTAGAACGACTTGGGGCCAAGGGTCCCCCTGTTGCTTTCTTGTGAATTCCATTTCCACTGTTGAAAACAGAGCCTCAGGCCCTGCATTTAGGTTATACTCATTTTTGAGAAATTCTCCATGTTTTTTTCTTAGAAATTTATTTTTGAGGACTATGCCATTTTTTTAAACATCATTGATAGGCATGATATTCTTTCTCAGTTCCTTTCTTTCCCCAGCCATGTCTGCCTTATTTTTACTAACTTTGGTTGCCCTTTATGTAATTTGGTGGTTAAAATTTTCTGTAATATGCTATTTCCCTTCTTCCTGTGTGCTTTTGGATTCCTTCTCAGATGAGAAACAGGGATGCCCATGTGCATACCACAGTCTTAGAACTAGATCTAAGTGTTCCTCCCTTTCGGTTTCATCTGTATTTGGTATAAAGTGATTCACTTTTATAAATGTACGTGTGAGACATTTTTCGAAGTTGTGGCTAGTGGAGTTTCTGTTGGTTTACTTACGCATTTTATGACTGTAGTCAGATTCTAGGAGGTAACAGTGAATTGCTATTTTTTGACTCTTAAACTCATCAACCAAACATTTCTCTCCTGATTATGTACCCTTCTGAATAAGCAAAACCTGCAATTATCCCAACATCCCAAAATCAGAGAAGCTGTGGACAGAACGTGGCGACTGCTTTTGTGAACTTCTGTGTCCCAGCCCGCCCTCCTCCTTCCCCCTGCCCTTCCCACCTCCTGTTCCTCTTCTTTTCTTTGGTATGAGGACTGAGCCCGGGGCTCTTTCCCAAAGCTACATCCCAGCCCTTTTTCTCTTTCACTTTTAAATTTTGAGACAGGTTCTCAGTGAGCTGCAAAGGTGCATGGGCTGGACTTGAACCTGTCATCCTCCCGCTTCCGCCTCCCCCACTCCTGGCTTCATCACTGTCTGGATGAATGATTAGTGTTTTCCCCATCTTGCTTCACCTCTCACCTCCCACTATGTGACTTAAGAACCTTCCAGCAAATTTCAGATACTCCATTTTACTGTAAACAGTTCCGTGTGTTACTCTAGCAGATGGAGACTGATTATGAAAAGCAAAACAAAAAATGAAATCCCAAACCTTTATCACCATACCATTGCAGCATCTAATAAAATTAGCAGCATCCCCCTGACCACCCCTGGTACCTATTCCGCATTTTACTGTGTCACTCGAAAATTATACTTTTAATTATTTGAATCAGGATTAAAGTAGTAGCTGTACATTTGTTTCTTTATATGAATGAAGACAAAAATACCACATTGCTCAGTATTTCTTTTTAAATTTATGTTTTCTCTTTGTTTTTTCATGCCATTTTTTTCTGAAGGCATAGTACACATAATAACATGTGCGTGAGTCTTTCCAGATTCTGGATTTGGAATCTGTTTCCACCCCATGGTGTTTTAGCCTGTTTCTCTAATCCCGATATTTGCTATAAACTGATCCTGAGATACGTGGAAGCAACTGGAGCCGGGGTTGCCTTCCTGGCCAGAATCCACGTGTGTCCTCTCATGTCCCAGTGGGAGACGCACTTCAGCGTGTCTGTTAAAAACATTAGGGTGGATGAGTGGTTAGCTGTTCTCTTGAGCTGGGAATTACAAATTTAGGTATTGACATTGTACCAAATGAACACTTCCTAGATTGGTAGCAGAATGATTATTCTATCATTACTTACAATTAATTGTTAAAAGGAAAGTTATAGCAATTTGTAGTTTTAGAGGATTTGCTAATATTTCCTGCTGAATTTTTAAATTAAGCAGCAGTGAAGAAGAAACTACACTAGTGCTCCCAGAAAATTAGGCTAAAATTTTCAAAAATATGGACTACAAATTACTGTTGGCCTTTTAAAAAATTTCACTATGAATCTTTGAAGAGATTATTCGTATTCATTAAAGATATATCTGAAAAACTTGTGGAACCTTCCATATAAGACCTGTATTTCCATGTGTCTGTATCACCTCGAGACTTGAGATATGTTTCCACTTTCAGGGTGTGTTTCACTAGACCTGTTATCTTCTGCGTTTACAGATTATTAAGTGTGATGTGCTGTGACCTGGACCTCCTGCTCCTTCTGGAGGCTCAGTATCAGGTATCCAGGGTCCTGCTCCGCGCTCAGGAGGAAAACATCTCAGAGGTCTCGGGGAGCCACAGGTGGGCGAGGCACTGGAGCGCAAGAACCGCGGTTCTTAGAGGATATTGTCTGAATCCAGTAGATTTAAATAACTGTGTAAGAAGCAGTTAAAGCATAAATGTGACAAAGACTATGACACTTTTGCAGAGGGCTTGCAGAGTACCACTTTCGAAGTTAGTGGCTGCTTTTCATTTGTATTTCTGTGGTTTTAGTTAAGCCCTAACTTTATTAATGATGCTATGCAATTACACCGCTTTTCAGTTCACCCGCAGTGTGCAGTGGCCCGCTGAATGAGACGTTTGATTTTGTGTCCCTCTTGGAGGAACTCCTTAGTCCATTCTCTTAATGATGGCAGCCCATAGTCATAATTCTGATTATTTGCAGAACGAAATGGTGATTATATCTTAACGGTTTTCCTCTTACCATTGCCTCAGTTTGACTGGCATTTATCAAATATACAGTTGTTAGCTACCATTGCTTCCATGTTTATAATTTTGGAAAAAAGGAATCATCCGCCTCCGTGCAAGCTGGGTCTTGGGAATTTAGAGTGTGTGACTTGGTGCTGTAGGTTTGATGTGGAGGAAAAAGATGGACAGATCGGGAAGTGTGGGGCTGGTGATCAGCAGCATTTAGACTTTAAATTCCCAGCACTGGGTCTAGACCATGAGAGAACCTTGCCTTAATATATAGTGGGGCACTGCAGAAATAATGAATGCTTTAATCCCATTTCTTTAAAGTCCCATAGCATTTATCAAGGAAATATGGTTCTGTTAGTGCCACTAATCTTGTATCAGTTATATCTCCATCAGTTTATCTCCTCTCTAGCTAAGAAAGCTATACAATACAAAGCAAATTTAGCCCTTTTGTGTATTTTAGGCAAAGCACTGATAAATGATCTGTTTTCCAGACTTCTCTGCTTTTCCTCTTTACAATCTGGTGACATGATTTTAAAAATCAAGTTATATTCAGTGAAGGAGTGAACAAAATCTCTGTTTTTAATTTTTTCAGGGGTTTTATAATCGATGGCTTATCAGTGGAGAGAAACCACGTTCTTGTAAGAATGAATCTCATTGGGGGGCCGTTGGAGCGGACTGTGCCCCCGAGGACACTGGACAAGGTGCGAACCGCAGCGGGGAAGTGTTTGCCTGACGGGTGGGAGCCAGGCAGCTGGGTCAGAGGCACTGCATCACACAGCTGGACTTTTGCTGCGGTCACACGTTAGGGTACAAGTCAGTGCTCACAGCGGAGTCTGCACTGTCACCCCGGGGTCGCCAGTGCTGTCTGTGCAGCAGAGTAGGTATTGTTTCACTGAGAGCTTGTCCTTCCTCCTGGTGCTTTTGAATATTCTACTTGCAGTGTCTTTCTTTCTCATGATACTTAACTTTACTGGGCCTCTGTATGTTTTGTATTTCTCTGGCAGTCCAGAGCCCTCTTCCATCAGTATATGCTTCATATTGGTTTCTCCTGGAGGTGTATTGTTTTTGTTCTTCAGAACATTCTTGACTTGATTGCTATTCTGGGAAAAATAAGATAGAAATGATTGACAACATGAGGAAAACAGTTTTAGGGGAAGAAAATACAGGTTCCTTTTGATGATTATAATTTTCCTTTCATAAAAAAGTAGTTATACCATCGCTATCAATCCTAGTAACACGTTATTGTGTGTCTTCAGTGCTTAATGTTGTTTCTTTCATGTGTTAGTCAATATCTTTTGAAATAGTGAGTGTAGTATCAAATAACTTTTGGTTAGTTGGGCAACAACCCTAAAACAAACAAAAATCCAATTTGAATTAATGATATTTCTGAAAATACTAAAATTCAGTATTGTTATAAACTACTTCCTAAACTTATTTATTTGGTTCTTTTTTTAGGGTGAAAATCCGTATCCTTGGCCGATGTTTTCATCATATCCTTTGCCACATTGCTATCGCTCAAAGGCTACAAGAAATCCTGATATAAAACAAGGTAAAATATTACCCCAAGCCCCATGTTGTTTTTCATTCTTTTGTTAGAATTCAAAACAATAATATATTAGGAAGATAAATATCATTTTTATTCAGCATGGTCCACAGATTCACTTATGCCTACTTCTTTTTAATCTTTAATTTTTCTCTTTTTTCCTACTACTGAGGCCAAGCAATTCCAACTTTTTGTGACCAAGGTAATATACATCTTTCCAGTAGCAATAGCTGTTTGGTTTTAAAGTAACTAGTGTTTTTTGATTTGTTGAATTCTAGGGATGTTAGAAATTATGTATTCAGCACGTGCCACACACACATTCTCTGGGCCCGAGACTTGGGGTGTGCAGAGCAGTGTGGTGCAGTGTGGGGTCAGCGTCTTTCCCAGGAGAATGCTCTCAAGTAACCGACAGCGCCTGGCGGACGGAGCCCCTCCGGGAAACTCGCAGGTTACCCGCGCCCGGAGCCCTGAGGTGCGGGTGGGTTTTCTGGGTAGCCGAGCTGTCTGGAGGGAAACGCGGAGGGGTTGGAGAAAGCAGGTTCTGTTCAAGAGCTGGGAGTCCTGGAAGGGTCGCGGGGCCGCGAGTGCCAGCAGGTGGAGGTCGGACCAAACCCGCGGGCCAGGCCCAGGCAGGGCCAGCGCCCGGGGCTTGGACTCGGACTCCAGGCGTGCGCTGACGGAGAACTGAGCTGAGCCTGCACGTGCTGTTCATCAGTCGCGTCTCGCTGGTGTGAGGCGTTAATGCTCACCTCAGAGGGCTCTCCTGCCCGGTGCCAGAGGACCTGCGTGGGGAAGAAGGCAGGCTCCCTGGCACAGCTGGCGCGCTGGGCCCTCCCCGCCGCTCTGCAGCCCTGCGTGCCGAGCCGCTGCTCCAGGACGCTGAGGAGCCAGGGCACCCCAGTCTCCGCAGGGGAAGCCTCTGCGGCCCGCTTTCCTGTTCAGCTTCTGGCCGCTTTGTCCGAGTTCCGCGTCCTGTTTCACATTTCAGCTAGCACGCCGAGAGCGCCTGCTACAGGGAGAGCCGGTTCATTCCCCCACTGCCCGGCCCCTTCTGCTCTCCTTTCTCTGCTGTAACATTGTATCTTTCCTAAGGGCCACTGGAAATAAGTATCCCTTTGTTACTTTGCATTGTATTATGCAACTACATCTTTGATCATTTGTTTCTTCAAAACACTTCGACAAATCGAACAAGGTGGACAGATTCTTTAAAAAGATTTAAAAGTCACTTCTCTAGGAAGAAAACAAAACTGGCATCAACTCGCAGGGAAGTGCTCTTGGCGGTGCCTTCCGGCTCCGCTGCCCCGCGTGAACGCCCGCACCGGAAAGAGGAGGTGGGAGCAGCTCTGTCCAGGCCGCAGTGGGCGCTGCGACTTCTGGTCTCCTAAGCGAGCATTTTCAGGCTTTTCTCAGCCTTCCCTCCTCTCATTCCGCGCCCCCTGCCTGCCCGGCCGTCTGCGGAGATGCTTGCTCGAAGGCCGCTTCCCCTGTAGCCCACCTCGTCCTTCTCCGAGCCCTGCGCCTCGCAGCCCCCCCCCCCTTCCGTCTGCAGCTGAGGCCTGGGCGGCCTGCTCCCGGAGCCTGTGCCTGCCACTCTGTGTGCCCAGCACCCTCTCGCACGGCCTCCGCTCTGGGAGCCTGCGCCCCCTAGCGCTCCTCACTTCCGGTCTTGCTGCCTGGCTTCGCCTGGCATCTCCTCTCCTGCGGACGGCCCGCCGCAACCTGAAACCCGTGCTATCTGCTCTCCACTCGGTCGCCCCGTTTGCCTCACGTGCTGAGCTCTCCAGCCCCGAACTCTCTGGATCCCCGAACGCCACTCACTCACCCAGACCTCCTGACCAGGGACTGAGTTATTATCTCTAATCTGCTGGGTGAACTTGGCTTTTACCACTACAGCTTTTCATTTTTAAATTTTATTGTGATTTTTTATTAGTTTGCATTTGCAGTACATGAGTTACATTCCTGCGTGGAGCTGGCGCGCGTGGCTGACACATCCAGATTACTTTGTGACCCTCGCCCCCCCATCCCTCTCCTCTGTCTCTTTGGCCCTTCCTCACTTGAGAAAGCTCCGTCCTTCTGTTTCCTACTATCTCTCGTGTATTTTGCTCTTTATTTATACTTTGGGTTTTCTGTATAAGAGAAGCCACGTGAGGTTTAAGCTTGCAGGTCTGCTTTTCACTTACCATCTCAGGGTGCACCCGTTTTCCTGCAGATGACTCAAGTTTATCCTTTATGGCAGAGTAGTACTCCATTGGGTGTCATTACCTCATTTTCTTTGTCACTTCATCTGTTAATGGACATGCAGGCTGCTTCCAAGATTTAGCTGTTACGAGCAATGCTGCTGTAAACATGGCGTGTGTGTCATGGTAATATGCTGTCTAACTCTCGAGAAGACACCTAGAAGGGGAAGAGCTGGATCAAATGGAATTTCTAGCTTTACTTTTTTGAGGAATTTCCATGTTAATTAAACAAATTTTTAAAATTAACAAATACGAGTATTACATGTATTTACTGTGCACAGTGTGTCCTGAAATGTATATATATTTCAGTGCTACATGCGCGTGCACACACACACACACACACACACACACACGGTGGACTAGCTAAATCAACCTAGTTAGCATGCAGTACTGGAAATACTTGTTTTTGTGGTGAGAACATGGAGAAGTCCTGTTAGTGATTTTCAAGTACACAGCAAGATGTGTGCAAGTTCAGTCACCGTGCTGGATGAATAGAGCTCTTAACCCTTTTCTCCCAACTCAAGTTTCGTGTTGTTTGACCGGACATCTCCTCCGGCACTGCAGCCCAGGCCTGGTACCCTGCTCTCTCTGTTCTGGGGTCTCGGGACTCTCAGACTCACGCACGAACGCAACAACGCAGGACTTCGTCTCCTTTGCGTGTCTTCTGCGGTAACGAAATGTCCTGGGGGTCTGTGTGTATTGTCACAGGCGATAGGTCTTCTTTCTTTTTAATGGCTGAACTCTTTATTGTTATTTTGTTTCGAGGAAGAAGTAATTTCTACGGGATTGTTTTCGAAAGCCAACAAGCAGCTGTTTTTGTCCCATGTTTAAAATCTTCTCTTGAATCCACTTCCTTTCCCTGAAGTCCGGTGTCTGCCCTTCCTGACCCTGCAGGCCTTCTGGGAGGCGACGTCTGCACCTGGTCTTCCAGTCGCTCTTCCCCACTCCCTGCGCGCCCACTCCGGGCTCCACGGCTCCGCGTTTGCACCCGCATCGCGCCCCCAGCTGCGGCCGGTCTGGTCCGCATTCTGTAGCCCGGCAGCTCCGCTTCACACACGGGTCCCGCCCCAGTGCTGGAAACAGCTCTCGTCTTCCGGAGTAGACCTTGCATTTCCGGGGGCTCCATCTCTGGCCTCTCCGGTCGGTCCGATTGGCCGCTCCGCGTCGGTCGTCGCCGCTTGTTTCAGTCACTCTCAGTCTCCTGTGCACTGTACATCGCTGTTGCTGGCCGCTGATTTGGTGCAGCTGAGACCACCTTCGCACGCTCCTTCAGAACCTGTCCCTTTGATGTTTTCCCTCATTTCAGAAACGGCCACTTTGTGCTTCCTGTTCTGCAAGCAATGACCGTGAAGACATTTTGGGCCTCCTTCTTCATACCCCGTAAATCTGCCAAGAAAGCCTCTCGACTCTGTATATCTAAAATAAAACCACTTTCGCCGTCTGCCCCTGCTCTCCCCTCACGTGTCTCAGTATCCTGCTGTGTTCAGCAGCCAGAGAGATGCTGTGGAAATGGACTTGGTAATATTGCCCCTCTGCCCGCCTCCTTCCATGGCTTCCTTGATGTTTACAAGGCCCAGGACCATTGTGACACCCTTCCCAGTGCTGGCAAGCTTTCTTTTAGAGAGTGTAGTACAGTTGCAAGCCGTCTGCAGGTCTTTATTTTCCCACCGTCCTACATAGGAACTCTTACTGTGTTTCTGTGTATTCATGAACTGTAAGTGAACAAAACATGAGTCCCGATTTAATAGTGGCACGTGATAAATCCTGCTCAGTGGTCCCCATCTTGCTGTGGTTCTTGGTAAAGAGGAGAGAATGCTGTAGGCATCAGTGGATAGCTTAGGAGGTGCCTCAGGAAGAGATGTTAAGATATTTATTCAATGCATCACAGCTATATCTCATCCTGCTATTGCAGGTATCTCAGTATCTGTGTCACGGGTAATAGCCTCTTAGGGTGCTAGAAAACAGGAGAGAAAGCCAGAAGCCTGTCTAGCTTTCCTTTTGACTTAAAGGATACAGTAATGGTATCTCTAGAATCGGTGAGAAAACTTAGCCACATATGTTTTTTTAACAGGTATAAGGCTAAACTGAAAGTGGTTATAATATAATTAATAAACTATTAATTTGCATTTTCAAAAATACTATGCTTAAGCTAGTGATACTTTAACACACCACAAAAGATATTTTAAAAGCAGGACTCATGTACTTTCCATTCTGCTTTTTGATTCAGAAGTAATGATTCACTGACTCTGACAGGTGTTATCTTAGTCATCATTTGCACTGCAAAATTTTGGTTTATTGTTTCAGTGTTGTGGAAAAAAAATCACTTCAGTTGTGTGCACATGGTGACATCTTCCTCATTTATCTCCCAGCGTCTAGATTTATCCTGCTTGCTACAGTTAGCATCTCCTCATCTGTTAAATTGTCTCTTGTTAGTTCCTTGCCATCAGTGTTAGCTGTTAGATGATTCATCTTTATCTATAAATAAGAATCTGGAGACATCATCTGGTTCAGTTGTTCTTCTTTGTGAACATTTTCAGTGTCACTATATCCAAATGTAAATGGCCTTTTAAAAGCTACTGGTTAATATTTTGTGTGTATGTGTACCTGCACAAACATATATGTACATATGTGCATATATTTTTATATGAACACATACATAAAGCATCACACATGAAAGCTTTATTTAGTAGAAATGATTTCTAGTTGAAATATAATTTCTCTGTTATCTGAAAGTTGAGATAGAGTGAAATGTACTATGTAGTACAGTGG